TGCCAGTTTTCTGCGTCGAGAGGAGTAAGGAGTAGGCCGAAGCTGAGCAGCGGATCTCGGCGGTGGAGAAACCTCCCTTTAGTAAACCTCCCTTCAGTAAAAACGGCCTAGAACCGAAACCGACGTACCTGGACCCGCAAAACCGACGGCCGCGACGCCCTCTCGCGAACCGAAAACGGCCAATTCGCTAGTCGACGTGTCAGGGCAGGACGTCTAGCAACCTCCAAGGATCCCCTGGCCCACCTGCGCCAGGCGGCTGCTCTATCGGTCGGAGGCGCTCGCTGCGGCCTCCGCGAGCTCCGCGAGCACCTGCGCGTGGCAGGCCGACGGCAAGCACCAGCACCCCAGGCGCTTGCCGCGTAGCTCGGCCAGCTTGCCGCGCAGGGGTAGCCCGTCGGCGGGGTCGCGGAGCTCTCCGCCGAGCAGCGCGGCGCGGAACTTGGCGCACACCTCCTCGCGGGAGCCGTCCCTGCCGACGACGAAGGGGTTCTGCCACTTGGAGCCCGCGTAGTGGAAGACCCGCCGGCTGGCGCCGGCGCGGTCGTGCACGAAGACCCGGCCGCGCCTGCCCACGTACAGGTTCTGCCCCGTGTCTGCCAGCCAGGCCGGCAGGTCCTCGTACGTGCCCTCCGACCGCAGCGCTGCCACCTTTGAAGGGGCCCCAGGACACACAAATAAATACACACAATAAAATGATTCCCCATATTCTCCCATATTTTCAGGGTTTCTGTCTTCCCCCCCACTTCCCACACTTTCCCATCTTTTCTGGGGGATCGACGACTCATTGTGTCTGTGTGTTTTTTTCCCTCCTGAACCTTCACCGACACCGCCTCGGTCGGCCCCGGAGCCCGAGCCGCGGGCCCCGGCGGCCGCCGCCCCTTCTTCGGGCGCCCCCCGCAAGCGGGCGCGCTGGCGGGCCGCGCCCGCTTGCGGCGGCCCTGGCCGCCCTCCGGCGCCCGCCCTGCCCGGCCGCGGGCGGCGGCCGCTGGCGCCGGCATGGACTGGCGGCGAGCCCCCATGGGGGTGGGGGGGGGGAGGCGTTCAGTCGGGCCTGTCCCCCTACAGGAGGATTTTCGACGAAACATAAGAAATAGCATATGGATAATCAAAAAATAATCCAAGCATAGTCTGGGGACTATTTTTTCAATATTTTTGTTGCCTTGTTGGGGGTATTTTTGGGGTATTCTTTATTTTTCGTCGAAAATCCCCCTGTAGGGGGACAGGCCCGACTTAAGGGAAGCGAGACCCTGACCTTTCTTTCGGAGCGCTACGACATAGCACTCCAGACCTCTGCAGGCCTCTCCAGGCTGCGTGAAGCCTCGACGTGAATTTGGGTCTTCAGGTCCAGGTGCTAGTCTTTGGCCCTCCTGGAAGGTCAGGGGAGAGGGGGGGGGGCAGGCCTCCTCAGCAGGCGGCGGGGCTTCTTGAAAGCCCCTGGGGCCTCCCCGGAAAGCCGAGCTCTACTTTCGGAGCAGGCCCAGGAGACTTCTCAGAGGGCCGGAGGCCTTCCGAGCCTTCTGAGGGGGGCCCCGTCCATGGAGCCGAGGTCGCGATGATTTGTTCCATACGGGGTCCCCCGAAATCTCGACCGTCCCCAGGACCGGTCCTTCATCGAGGAGGAGGAGGAGGAGGAGGAGGAGGAGGAGAAGTCGCTTCTCAACGGTCCCGGGGCCCGGCGAGGGCCTCCAGAGGCCGAACGCCGTGGGCAAAAGACCTCCGCCTTGACTTCCACACGCCGGAGCTCTCTAGGGGCCTCGGAGACTTCCCCCTGGCCTCGCCGCTGGACGGAGGCGAGGCCAGCACGCCTGCTGGGAGGAGGCGGCGCGCCCTGGCTTTGGACACCCGAAATGGGTACCGAAAGAATGGGCACAATGCCCAACAACAAACGTTGTCCCATACCAACAGCGGCCGCTGTTGGGCAGGCGGCCTTCTGTCTCAAATGGACACAGGCCGCGGCGGCGCGGACAGCGAGTCCTGGTCAAGATGGACAGGAACTGCTGTTCGGCATCGTACCCATTCTTTCCGTGCCCATCTCGTTCTTGCAGACTGCCGCAGCGCGAGGGCCCTCTGCTCTTTCCGGGGGCGGGCCGCCACCCGCGCGCGGCGTCGAGGCGTGGCGCCGAGGGGGCCCGGGCCAAAAGTGCTGCGGACGTCCACCAGGAGGGGCAGCTCGCCGTCGCTGGGACGTCCGTTCCCCGTGCACTCTTCGGCTCGGGGCGCGCTCCTTCTTGAGCCGAGATGCGCCTCGATGGTGCTCGCCGAGGAAAATGTACGCGTCCGAGCGATGCCAAGCAGGGGGGGGGATAGGCATAGGGGGGGGGGGGGGGAAACATCCACCTGGAGTCGGCGATACATCGCCGATGCAGATCGGCGCTGGCCCCCGACAGCGAAATACAGACGCCTCCTGGGCGGGCTGGGGCCATTGGGCCCTGGCCGGCGATCGGCTGGGGGTCGATGCATTCCTTACCAGCCTGTGGAACATATCCCTATCCCTATGCTTGGCACCTCCTCGTCACGATGGCAATCTTAGGGCTTCCCCTATTTTTTGAGGGCGAACCCCTAAGATTGTCATCGCCTCTTGGCGTGTCAATCTTAGGGATAGGGCTACGTTCGAGGCTGGTAAATTCCCCCCCATGACTGTCCCCTCCCCGCCGCCCACTACTGCAATACGAGGTGGTTGCGTTCCGGCGCGCTTGCACTCAGCCCGGACATGTCTCCTGCATGAGGTTTCATTGGCCTTCTTGACTACAACCTTTTCTGCCGATGCGCCGTCTAGGTGCGGCTTCTTGCATGCGTGCGGCGATCAGTGGGCGACTGGGGTTCGATGCATTCCCCCCCCCCCAAGGCCTGTCCCCCCCCTATCGTTGCCCCCGAGTCTGTCAGCACGCCACTGCGAGTGCAGAGGCCAGCGGCCTGCGGGCGCCGCCTCCCGCCGGCACCCCGAGGCCGGGGGCGAGGCAGAGTGCGGAGGAGGAGGAGGAGGAGGAGGAGGAGGAGGAGAAGGGCGGGGAGGCAGGTAAGGCGGGGCGCGGCTCAGACCACGACGGCCAACTGCCGCGAGGGCCGTCGTCCTGGAGTGGCAGTCCCCGGGGTGGCCCCAGTTGTTCGCATGCGATCGCCAGCGTTTCCTGCGCACTGCCTTGGCAAGTTGCCTGGGCCACGCCCAGCCGCGGCAACGAAGGGCGCCTCCGAACGCATGAAGCCTAAACTCCGTCGGCGCACCAAGCGGCGCACCAAGCATCATGAGATACGGCATTAGCCAGGGAGACGTCCTGGCCCGCGCCTGTCCTGTCATCCTCCCTCCTCCTCCCCCTCGCTCCCCTTCCTTCGCAGCTGCTCCTCTCTTCCTTCACCTCCTCCTCCTCCTCCTCCTGTTCTGCCTCCTCCTCCTCCTCCTCTCCTCCTCCTCCTCCTCCTCCTCCTCCTCCGCTCTGCCCCTCCTCCTCCTCCTCCCTTCCTCCTCCTCATCCTCCCTTCCTCCCTCCTCCCTCCCTCCTCCCTCCCTCCCTCCCCCTCCCTCCCTCCTCCTCCCCTCTGCCCCTCCTCCCCTCGCTCTCCCTCGCCCCCCCTCCCTCCGCCTCCTCTGCGGGGCTTGAGCCGCCGCCCCCACCGCTGCCCGCCCTCCGGCATGCGGCAGGCCCGGTGTGCGGCTCGGCCCCCCCGGCGCGGCGCGCCCGCGGGCGCGGCCCCCGCCCGCGGGCGCGGCCGCGTGGCCGGCCACTTGAGCAGGGACCGACCGTCCCGGCACTCCTACAGTCATACCACGAAGTGTTCTTAGAACCCAAAAATAATCGAAGAATGCAAACAATGTTCTTAGAACATAAGCCCGATGTGTTAAACAAGACATAACGGGCGCGGCCGCGGGGCCGGCCACGTCCAAGACGACACGTGCGAGAAGCGGGCGTTGGCAGAACTGGGTTTAGTGGAACCGTGGAACCTGGTTTCGTGATTTGTACCGGGAGCGCCCCCCCGCCCCATGTCCACTAACCGGAACTGCCGTCAGACGAAAAACACCAGTTACGGCAAAACTGGTTTAGTGAACCTGCCCAATTGAGGGGCCCCAGGGCCCTACCACTAAGCGGGTCCCCTTACCCGGGGTCCTGGCTATACCCGAGAGCAGTGCATGCAGCACTCTTACGATCAGGGCGCCCAAGAGCGACCCCATGCACGCGGCTCCCGACCACACCGAGTGCATCGTGAGCTCCACCGAGGCGTCCATCAAGGAGTTTTTCGCTCCTGGCCTCCTGGTCGTTTTCAGCCCGCTGGTCGAGAGCGTCGGCTTTCGCAAGAATGAGTGTGTCGGCCTTCTTTTCAGCGCCCTCGTGTACAGCGCGTAGCTGGCCGTCTCCATGCGCAACACCGGCGGCGCCTGGGACAATTCGAAGACACTCTTCAAACCACGAAGACCCTTGTGCTGGGCCTGTTTTCCACCACCACCACCACACGTTGGAGGGGGGAGGAGGTGGAGGACGAGGAGGAGCAGGAGGACGAGGAGGAGAAGGACGAGGAGGAGGAGGAGGACGAGGAGGAGGAGGACGAGGAGGAGGAGGAGCGAGGAGGAGGAGCGAGGAGGAGGAGCGAGGAGGAGGAGGAGGATGAGGAGGATGACCCCCTCCCACTCCAACTTGTGGTAGTGGTGGTGGAAAACAGGCCCACCACCATGTCGAGGTGCGCACGAACTCTGCTAGCAGCGCCACGGTCCGTGCCCCGCTAAGGGGGCACGTCTGGCCCCGCGCTGAGTACTGTTCTGCAGCTGACGTCCATCCCGGGCCTCGTATTGGTGGTGCCGGTCCTCTTCGAGGAGATCCAGCCCCTGCGGGGGCCTCACCCCTCGGGGGTAGCACAGTCAATCCGAAGAGCACGGATGCGCGATAAGGATGCAAGAGCCTTGGACGCCCATGTCGAAGCTATTCGAGCGGGGCGCGGCCAACGAACGTGGCCAAGGATGGACCGAGGAGGCAAGGATGCAAGGGTACCCTTGGGAAGGTTGCCCATCCTTACTATTCGGGTTGACTGTAAGGTTCCGCGCCCTCTTCCTCTCCCCTTCTGTCCGTCCCCCTGCGCATCCCCCTCGTCCCCACTTTTCCTTGGGCGTCGCTGAATGGGGGGGCGATCATTGGGGGGGGGGGGGGGGAGGAAAGGGCACTTTTCGGACCCGGGAGGCCCCTCCTCTGGGGCCCTAGAAAAAGCCCATTCGGGGGCCCCGAAAGGCACCTTCTCCGGAACCCTCGCTGCCCTCCCGTGTTATCGCCCCTGTCACTACAGGAAGAATTTGAACAAAAAAGACTTTCAAAACCAAGGAACTTCGAAATGTGTCGCCAAAATGCCCTCCCTCCGTCGCCAAACGTCCTCCCTCGCCAACTCAATCGCCCCTACCACTGCGTGCGTCGCCAGCTGTCCTCCTGCCGCCTCCTTTTTCCCGATGCGGGGCGGCTCCCCGTGGCCTCCGCGCTGGCTGGTCTGGGCCCCCGCCCTCGGCGGCTCGGGCCGCCCCAGGGCGAGGTTGGCTCCTCCCCCGACCTGCGCCGTCCCGGAAGGGCTCCGCCGCGGCCCCCTCTCCTCCGCGATCGCACGCTCGCCTCGGCAGCGCGCGCGGCGCACAGTGTGGTCGGTGTCTGTCTGGTCGTTTGGGCCGCTCCCACTGACCTCGCCTCGCCATCGCTCGGGCGTCCATTCCCTGTGTTTATTTTTGGGTCTCGTGCGTGTTTTTTTTTGCCGAATGATCAAGGATGCTCCTCGATGGTCCTCGCCGAAGGAAAAATACACACGTCCGAGCGATGCCAGGACATGTGGTCGGCCCGTCTGGTCTTTTGGGTGGCTCCCACTGCCCTCACCGCGTGGTCTTCTGTGCCGCTCTGGCCCTTCCCCTTCCTTGTCAAACCTGCCGCGGTCCGCCGGCGCCCTGGCTGCTCGCAGGGTCGGGCCGCCTCTTCCGCTGCTTCGTGCTCCCATGTGTGCGGCCGTCTTGCGCGCCCTGCCACTGCGTCGCAGCCGCAGCTGTGCGTGCGAGTCTGCGCTTTTAACAGGCCTTCTCGTCGTGCGTTGCCCCCATTCGCTCTCCCTGTGCGGGCTGTCTCTTGGCCTTCTCCTGCCTCTCCCCATGGGGCCCGGGCCCCGGACGCCCGAAGTGCGTTGCGCTCACGCGCCCAGGCTCCGCTTGCCGTGCATCCGCATGAACCCCGCACTCGCGCTGGCCTTTTTTTCATCCCTGCCGCCGCTGCAGCACTTCCCTGGCCTTTCTGCGCAGAGCTGGCCTGAGTATCCGCCGCATCCGCGGCTTCATCCAGTCTGTTCGTCGAAGGCGTGAACTTTCCACAGTGCCTACCTTTTCTTTTTGCCCTCCCAACTGATCTCTGTGCTGTGGCCCTTGGCCGCTTGCAGTGAGGCCGCTGAAGAGCATTTGATCACGCATCTTGCGAAGCCGCGCGCCGCATCAACGCCCGCCTCCCTTCCTCGCACCCCCACCCCTGAATCCACCTCGTCCCGCCCGCTCCCTCCCTGATCTCGGCCCTCCCATTCCCCCATCCCCTCCTCACCTTCTTCTTGCCACCTTGAGCTCGACCTTGCCCGAGCCCATATGGCGGATTCCGGGAACCCTGAACCCCCAAGATGTTGCGATCTCCTGGGAGGCTGATCTTTACTTCCGCCAACTTCCGCCGGCGGATGCGGCCTCGTTTTACTTGGGCGGGCTTCCGCCGCTGTTCCGCCTCGTGCTCTTTGTGCAACGACGATCCCCCGAGGTCTGGGCCCCTTCCCCAGGACCGGTTTCTCGTCCTGAGCCGTTGCTTGACGCTCCCGAGGCCATGGTGCAGGCCCCCGGAGGCCCAAAGCGGCGCAACGCCTCCCGTCGTCGTTTTCACAGCGAGGGGGTCTGGGCCCAGCCTCCGTGCCGATTTTTGTTCCGAGGCGCCGAACGTCTGGGTGCCGCCGCCTTTCCGCCGAGGCTCTGGACGCCCGAAATGGGTACTGGAGAGATGGGCGCGATGCCAAACAACAACGGTTATCCCAAACCGATGGCGGCCGCGGCTTGGGCAGGCGGCCTGGCTCGATGGGACGAGGCCCGCGGCGGTGCGGACACAGCGAGCCCAGTTCAAAACGGACAGGAGCTGCCGTTGGACTTTGTACCGATTCTTTCCGTACCGCTTTCGATCGTGCCGAGGCAGAGGTGCCAATGAGAATCGTTCATCCGACCCCCATCCCCGGCGGCGTGGCCTGGGTCCCGCTGGCCGATCTACCCCCCTGGATGGGGAAAAAAGGCCGCTCCCTCCGGGTTTCGAGGGGTGCCTCCCCCACCGGGGTGGCAATTTGGTGGGGGTCTCGAAGGCGATGGGGCTGGGGATGGGGACGGGGCTGGGGATGGGGGACGGGGGATGGGGGATGGGGATGGGGGATGGGGATGGGGATGGGGATGGTGGGGGTCTCGAAGGGGACGGGGCTGGGGACCGCACAAACGATGCTGAGCCAACTCCTTGGATCCTCCAAGGGACGGCCCCCTCCGGA